GATTTGAACATGAACAACTGGCGTTGTTTTTGCCGTTTCCAGCGCGCCCTAAGAGCACGCGCCCTTGCGCCCTGGGCGCAGGACCCACCGCGCGGCGGGACCGCCCCGGACCGCCCGCCCACACTAAAACAGATTGCTCTACATTTCGCCTAATCGTTGTCACGTTTTGACGCGAGCCCGACAGCGCATAAAATGGCTGGATGAAACGCACCTGCCCGTATCCATGTCTCTCGTATTTCCCCTCTCTCTCCCTCTCATGCGCTGCCATGGCGCCGAGTCGAGGGGGTGGGGCGCGTCCCCGGTGCCGACGCAGCCCAGGCAGCCTGTGTGGCTGGGGCACCCCCTGGGGGAGGCTCGGCCGGGTGGGCAGGATAGGATGTCCATGGGATGTAGCGATGGGGCGTGTGTGTGTGTGTGTGCCTGTGTGTTGTAGCTGTCAACCGAACTAGGGCCTCACTTGGCGCCCCATATATTCTACGCTTTATTGGGTGAGGATGCCTCCTTTCCAACTCCTTTCCACGTTGATGCTGATGACTCACTAATCTCTCTGTGGGCCCTGGTCTCTTATCTCTCTCGCTCACCTCGCTGAGAAAGAGAGGGAGAGGTAGGGAGGGAGGGAGGTGGAAGTGTGTGTCTATGTAGGGGTGCGCATATGCGAGCGGAGTGCGTTCTTGCGTTGAGCGAAGGCCACGAGTGTGTGCAAGTGCACGTGCGATTGTTGACTATGGCACTTGAAGTGTGAAACACCTGTCAGTGTGTGCATCAGGCGAGGAAAGCCTTCTCTCCTCTCACTTGGCGCTCACTCTTAATAAAGAAGAGCATGAACGGGCTGGCTAGCGCGCAGCAGTACGCGGCAACGCGGCCGTGCGCCGTGCGCGCAGGCAACCCATCCTGCTCGGGCGGCTGGCGGGGCCGCGGTGGGGGCGCGGCGGGCGAGGCGCTGCCCGCGGCCGCAGCGGCCGCTGGCCCCGTGGCGCTGTGTTTGACTTGGCGGGCGGGTGATGGACCATATAGCGCACCGCCCAACGCAAGTTCAATACCGAGCCCAGCCAGGCCAGGCCAGCCGGCCTGTTTAGTTTATTTGACGAGAATTAACTCTGATGGAGCGGAGGGGGGATCATGACCGATGCAACAGTAAACGTGTCGTGCACCGCCCCGCCGTGTGCTGTTGAAGACCAACACCACCCCCGCTCAGCCGGCCTCCCCGCCCCGCCCCGCCCCGCCCCGCTCGATCGGCGCCTATCGGCCCTTTATGTCTCAGCCCTTGGAATTAGTTTACAGCCCCCTGCCACATGCACACACTCACGATGTCGCCCTCGTAAACCCTTGTCTATCACCTCCACAGGGCAAACACCCAACACCCCCGCCAGGCTGCGGGCCTCTCTCTCGCACCTGCAGCTTACACCGCAGAGGCATACTCACTTTCGTTCGGTACGTAACACGTTCAGTGCGGCGTGACCACTATGTGGTCGAGCCGGCAGTCGCACTGAACGTTGGCGCACTTACAAAAATTTATTTATTTTTTTGAAGAACGTTTCGTAATCAGTTTGCAAGCCTACACATCGTTTAGTTCCGCACGGAACTGATTGTTCCCTTAAAATGCGCATTGTTTTCAAGCGCCCAAACGGCTTCCTGCTGTCGAAATATTTTCAAATACCTTTTCGCGCCCCTTCAGTTCGGGCCGGACCTCGCACTGCCGTGCCGCGCCGTGCCGCGCCGCGCCGGCGCTGGGGGCGTCGATTTATGTGTTCAAATAAATCCATTTAGTGCCGCGTCCGAACCAGATTGGCCATTAACCCCGTGTCTGTCCGTCCGGACCGTAAAGTTCACGCAGCCGCACAGCCGCACGACGGAGCTCGCTGGAGGACCCTGCAGGACCTGACCGGTGTGCGGCGGGCTGAATAGAATGGTCCTTATTTCTTCCTCGACGTCATTCTGTGTCCTGGTGCTGCTTCGCCTTCATTCACAATACACGCGGTGGCGGAGTGACCCGAGCGTCGTCAGGCCGACCCAACACGATATGAGTTACATTCTGGCACGCGTTCGATACTCTCGCGCGCCTATGGCTTCAAGCCCACCGACAGCAGAAAGGCAAACAAACGTGCTCATTTCTGTCCTTCTGAATATTTTAATTTTGCATTGTGCACCTCCACCTCAGCCGGATGGAGCGTATCAGAAAAAAAAAACATTATTTTTAAAATTCTTTATTTCGCAACAAGCTTGCCTGTGTTCTTTTGCAGTGTGAGGTCCTGGCGGCCAATAACTTATAATCAGGCCTCCGTCATGCGCGGTTTGATAAGCTACCGTGGATGAGGTAGCGGCGCGGCACTCGAGCCCCACAAAGGAGCGGCATCACCTGCAATGCAGCACTCTCATACAGAGTTGCGATAACTTTTTATTTTTATATTTTCGCGGAAACTACTAAATGATGTCAGGCGCAGACGCGTCATCTTACGTGAGTTGCCAATAGTGTATTTCGACCAACGGAGGAAGAAGAATAGCGGGTAGAACATAAACGTTACCTATACTAGATATCTGGTTTACCTACTGGTCGAAAGCTATCCGCCTCTACGTCACGCCGGTAGTGGGGGTATAAGCGTTCGGCCGATCAGGAACCTTTATTTTTTACCCGCTATTCTTCTTCCTCCGTTAGTCGAAATACACTATATAAAGTGTTGGAAACTTTTGGAAAAAAAAATTGCGGCAGCAAGAAGGAACTTTGCGCTGTGTGTGTATGTGTGAGGAGAAAACGGGGGGAGGGGGGGGGGGGGGGGGGGGGGGGGGCGTTACTCGTGCAGGTTTGTTTGTTCTACGCCGGTAGGCCTAACGCTTTGTCTCTGTGACTCACTTGCACATCAAAGGCGCCGCGACTGCCATCCGGGAAGCGTTGGGCCGCCACGCCCCGCCGCGCCCAGCCGCGCCCGCGGCCCCCGATAACTAGGCAATGATTGTCACATGCCGGCCCGTGAGCTCGCGCGGGCGCGACTGTCGTGCGTTGTATTTAGCGGCTCTGTGCTTCACACAAACCACACAAATATTGGGGGGCGGGTCAGGGGAGCTGGGCGGGGTGTGGGGACGCGCTGTAGGGTCATCGGGTCCCACTTTTACTGTATGAAATGGATAACCAAGTACAAATATAGACGCGCGGCGGAGGAGGCCTTTGACCCAGCCGCCGGTCCGGTGCCGTATTTTCTTCCCAAACCCCCCAAATAAGCCCGCTGCGCTGATAGCGGCTGGTCCCGTAGAGTCCTAGGACTCTAGTCCCCCGCGCGCGCTGCCGCGCCTTCGTGGCGGACCAAACTGATTCTGGAAGACAGTCAAGTGCGGGGCGGGCCAACCCTTCTGCTGCGCCCGCTCGTTGCCATCTCGTCTGGCGGCGCAACTTCAAAGGGCGTTATCGAAAAGCACACACCTTGGTGCGCCCGGCTGCGCCCAGGCTACCTGCACACACACACTCACACAGACACACACGCGGAGACACACACACACACACACACTGAGGCGCGCGCGCGCGCTGGGCGCGGCTCGTACGTGGCGACACCGCGGACCTCTTGAGCCCCGTTTACGAGGCGACACATTATCAAACTACTCTTTTACTACCGTTAAGGTCCCCCGCCGCCGCCGCCGCCCGACGCGGGGCCAAAATGACCCACTTGCTACGTGTCTGTGTCTCTCCCGCCAATGCGAGTATATTTTTCCCCCTGCTGCCGCTCTCTTTTTTTAATTTTTAATTTTTTGTCCTCTCGCCGGAGTGCCGATCATGTCGCGCAGAAGTGGCGCGC